AATAACACTTGTAATATAAAGTAAGGTAATACAGTAAAATAACACGAAGCAAGATTCTCCGATATAATATCTGTCCCTGAAAAACCAAATGATATCAATTTATCATGTTTTTCACGGTAGAAGTATTAGAAATCGATTGGAAGATTCGACAAAAGATTTGAAAGCAAATGTTTCATTGGATGAAACGTAAACGGAAGAAGGATCCCGACGGGATTCTCCAAGTCACGATCACTCCTCGTTTTTATCCGAAAGGAACGAAGACTTTTTACGCTCCTTTTGGCTCTCCTTGAGGATTTTTAGAGATCATTGTTGTACCAGGATTCTGTATTATTTTCAGAACGTGTCGATATTTCTTTCCGCACCGATGTCTGCGATTATTACCGTCAAATTGACCGTAAGAATTTTTCATTTTGTTTTTTACCTTTTGTCTCTTTTGTCCGTAACTTCATCTTCTTGGGTTCGAATATTCCTGGGACATTCTTTCTATTTTGTTCTTTATTTGTTGTGTTTCTAACTAGTAACTTGATTTACGAAATATGTTTGAACACTGAAATTTTGTTCGAAGATATTTTAATGTTTGATATAGAGCTCTGAGGTATTTTAGAAATATTCGTGTGTTTAAATTTCGCTAATACCACGTTTCCCACGAACACTACGCTCGACAATGGTTGATTTTACTTTAATTTTATTAATATTATTAATAAATATTAATTTCAATAATATCATCGTAAATTGAACGAACAAGTGGATAATTCACGTACGAGAAAAAGTCACGAGAAAGCTGAAAATTTACAAAATTAATGAGGTTAGATATCGAAAATATTATCCTGTCCTATCGAACTAACGAGGATCTGTTTTTGGTTCTTGACTTTTATTGGCTGAGAGGAAACGGCTGACTACGATTTACAAGTCGACCAAGAATTTCAACTCCCGGTAAGAAACCTAGTAATAATATTTCTTGATAATCTAGTTAAGCGATGAAAAACCATCGTGACTAATGAAAAGTAGCAGATAACTTATAACTTGAAAGAAATTAGGTTACAGAGATTATAGTGTACATACTTTTACAATTCAACGGTAGGTCTTGCTCTAATTCAACTATTACATATAACGAAGCGAGATGTTATTGAAATATCAAATTTTCTATTTT